ATACATTTAATTCCCCAAAATCCATTTAAATCCTTTACTCAATTAATTCTAAATAAATAAATATTTATTTATTTATAAATAAATAAATAAATAAATGTAGCAATAGATTTGCTAAATTTATTAGCAATATAAATTAGTGATGCATACTTTAGCAAGCAATGTCTCATGCTACTGAATGACTGTATTGTGAGCAGGTAATTATTGACACAGAGTTATCTCAAGTCCACCTCTAGATGATCCCCCAGAGCCCGGCAGATCAGAGGAGCTCTAAACAGCCTTGTGTTCACCAGACAGGGGCAACAGATACCTGACTAATGTGTCCGCAGGCAGCAATCAAGAGCCCGCGGAGGGCTGCGTCTGAAAGTTATTGTTATTCTCACTGTGCTGCAGAGCTACTATCAACTATGACTTTCCTGCAGCTCTACAGGACAACATTAATTCAGACCTTTGGCCAAGTCTTTTCATCTCTATGTTTCTGTCTCTGTAGCTCTGAATAATCAATTGATAAGGATGTTATCAAGGCCATTTTTAACCCCATTGGTCCTTGTAGCTCATCAAAGCATGCGTATTATTGCCCCTTCACTATAAAGCTGTTAATTAACTCATTTTTGATCACAGATCCATTCACACAGGCGGTGCTGTCTTCTTCTGAATATACCGTACAGATGAATAGACTGTATTCAGTAAAATAAGCTTCAATGTTTTTATCTTTAAATCAATTTGGGCAAACCGGTGCAAGTGTTATTTGCCTCGGAAGCCATGCGAATTGAACTGATTACCCCTTGTGTCAAATATATTAAATATGTAATTTAAGAAAGCAGCAGTAATGCATTAGAATGGAGTGCAAATGTCCTCTGAGGAAACAACTGTGTATAAAACACACTTTACCTTGCAGCTATTATACATATTCATAAAGTCTATGATTAAATCGACGCTGATGGTTTTATATTGAATAAAACTACCTGAAACTGGTTATTTTTGTGGTGCTTTGATTATATTGACCCTATTTACTTTCAAAATACACGTTCATGTTCTTATTGTGCATGATCCACAGTTGAATGTTAATCCAATATGAAAAAAAGCTTGTTTTTTTCATAATCCTCAATCAAAACCGGATAAATTTTGAACTTGCTCCACCTCTAAAACTTTCATTTATGGCTCAAGACATAAATCCCTAAATACAGCATAAAACTACATCTGTTTGATTTCAAGTCAGGTCAAGTGAGCTTTCTGGTCATTCCGCATAAAAAAGGATGAAATATCATGCCTCACAGGACCATAAAAATACACATATTATAAAATTCACAAATAAACTGAAATTTTGCATTGCTGTTCGCCAGTATCTAACTTTCTGATTTCAAGCACGGTTTCCAGGCGACAGTACTCACGCTGTTGATGATGTTCTGGAAGTCTACCGCAGGTGCAGAACAATATATCACAGCATGAAAGGACAGCAGATATGGCAGAGGGCAATCACGTTTTCAGGTTTGCGCTCACCTGTACTCCTCCTGCGTGAACACAGGAATGATGGACGGCTGCAGGACAGTGATCTCCACCAGAGTCTTATTGAACTTCACTGGCTCCCCATCATCATAGGCAATAACTGCCAACTGTTTGGGAACATGAGAAAATCAATTTTAAGATAAAATGAGGAGGACTTAGAATCACCACTGGGTCAAGTTCTGTCCGCACTGTCCATCTGAGTTTTGAAAGCCAGTTAAGAGATATAGATACATAAAAAAAATGTGTGTGTGTGTGTATATACACACACACACACACACACACACACATACACTGCAGTTTAAAAACTTGCATGAAAATACTTTTAAGATTATTGTTCTTTCTCTGATTGCAAAGCTTTTTTCTTGTTTATGCTTAAAGAAAGGGAAAAAAATTCTGTTTGCGAATGGGGCAAGAAAATTAAACTTCATTCAATATGTTGCCTGAGACATTTACATGTCATATACATGACACAAGTCTTATGTCTGCACAGTGGCCTTGTGGGGAAAGCAAATGCACCAATTTATTGAGCTGTCATGTTCTCATCCTGGTCCCCTCTTTCTCTCTTCCATCGATTTCCTGTCGTACTTCCATTGTGTTTACCAATAAAATGGCAAGAAAAAAATATCACGTGTTTGTTTTCTAATTATTAGGATGTTAATATTTTTACTGGAAAACAAGTCAAATTATATTAATAAAGGATTTCAAATCTGTTTTCTTTTTGTATGACAATATCATCCCATATAAGACAAAAATTAGTGTATAAAGCAAGACATTAATATAAATCATTTTATATAATCAACATTTAAAATTTAACAAAGAAAGCTGTCTTATCGTATGCTTTCCTTGTAAACCTCCAATTCAATGAGAAAAAAGAGAGTATTTTCAGATCTCAAAAGCATTTTGAACTTGGGCACAAATGAAGCTATACAAATGACAGATGATAGGAGCAGATGAAGATTGTTGAGAGCAGAACACGCTTGAGATTATGTTCAATGTCAATGAATGTGATTGTGCACATGGACTGATTAACTGTTGGGTCTCATCTACTTTCATTAATGTTTGTGTAAACATCTAAAATGACAAGATCAATGTGTTGAGAAATCATGTTTGGGGAACCTATGGCCAGAAAAGCTTAAAACCTGCCTGAATTCGGACCATTATTAAGAATGAGTGTTTCTGAACTGACCATTGAGCTTTGCTCAGAAAGCATTCTAATGTATCAGGCGGTGCAGCGATTGCATCTAAATCAATCTGTGAGATGCATAAAAATGATTGATGGCTAGTTATGGCCTGCGGATTTAGTTGACAAGCCCTGTATTAAGAAAAGATTGTTGTGCACTTACACTGAATTTAGTGTTGGGCTCCTCATTCAGATTGACCCTGGTGAGAACATTGCCAGAGTTTTCCTCCACGTCGAAGATACTAGTGCTGTAAGGAAACTGCTCCAGATCCACTTTATAGTGAACCCGACTGGCCGCTGTACCCTGAAAGATAACAAAAAAGCTTAAAACAGAAAACAAATATACCCTTTCTGCCCCAACGATATCAATATTTTCAATCAAAAATACAAAATAAAAAGGTTTTCAAAAAGAGAGAATGTGGTCATTATATAAATAATTGACAATGACTGCTGAATTATTTGATGCAAAGCAATAATTTTCAATAATGCAATAGTAGTTTTGTGTTTTCTGTTCTGTTAAGGCTAAACTTTTAAGCAGAACAGATTTAAAAAAAAACTAGAAATCAGAATCATAAATTGTTACAGAGAAGAACTGAGCATCAAACATTAAACAGCTGAAGTTCACACAGCCTTTCAAGTCGCTCTGAACACAACAAACTAGATTTAGAAATATGCACCTAAAAGTATTTTTTTAGGAGATAAGTCACAAAAGAAAACAATACGTGTTCTAAAATTGGCTCAAAATACCAAACATGAAAATAAATAAATCATGATTTTCTGTGAAATCTTTAAACTCAGACTGGCTCTGACTTTAGGCAACTACAGTCGACTTATCCAGACTATAAATCGAGGTAAAGATCTGTGCAAAACTGCAAAACTCTGAAATAGTGTAACGATTTGGAATCAACATGGACAAGCAATATGGCACTCTAATGCAGTTAAACCTGGAATTACTTACAGTTGCGCAGTAGAAAATTAGCATGGAATGTTTGAGAACCAATCAGAATGAAGAATTCAATTCTTGAGTGGTATAAATCAAGATTTCAAGTCAAATCTACTAGTTGCAGGCATGTTTAAACCTAAATCTTTCAAGCAATGGTCAACTTAAATTCTGCTGCTGAGCACTCTTAGCAGGATTTAAATGAACCTGACAGACCCAATTTGCTCATTTTATCTTGCTCTTCTAAAGTCTCACCTCTCGCTGCGAGTTTCATAAGTTATGAGTCTGTGAGATCCGATGTGCAGCATTGGCCTGGGGACAGAAGGGTTGGTAACCCAACTGTGATGGAGATAATTACGAGGTGATGCCGGGTGAGAAATGGAGCCTGCGGGTGGGCCTGTGCTCGTAAGAATGTGCTGACAAACCCATCCATCCACCCACGGGTGGGACAGCACCACACATAGTGCCGGTCGGGGCATGCGTTTTGGTGTGAAATCAGACTACAAATGATTTTCAGCTCACTCCTGTGTCTTCAGGGCGTATAGAGAGGATTTGGGTCATGGGGCATTCGAAAGCACAAGGAGTTATACCACACTGTGTTTTATCAAACTAGCAGATCATTTACATTTCCTCACTGCTCTTTTAAAATCCTGAGGAGTTTGATTAACATCATTCTCATCTCCTCTTTTTTTTTTCTCCTGTCACTTTGCTTTAATATTTTATGTCTTTTCAGTTTGAAGACACTCTATAATTGCAAATATGATTGCATCATGCCCAGAAAGAGTCAGTGCTTTTTTTTTTTTTTTTTACACCATGTATTAAGGAAAGCTTGGCAAAGATGTATTTAAAATCTGATTTATTTCGGTGTGGGTGAGGATGGCTAATGAATAAAACACGCTGATGGGCTTGATGAAATAAAAGATGCCAGTATGAAGGGCCATCTGACAGATGCTCAGAGAATAGGGAAAAGTGGAGGGAGTTGCCAGAACCACATTGATAGACAGCAAAACAAACCTGGTCACCAGCGGGCTGAAGAGATGTTATAAATAAGAGCGGCTGTTTGCGAAAAACAAAACCATTATGTGCTACGGAATAACCCTTGAAAACGGTGTTTGCTGAATGATTGCTAAGCGGGACTGAAAAAAAAAAGGTTGAATCCATGTTTTTAATTCACCAAGAGAACATGCAAAAAGCTATCAACAAGATTGAAGTGATTTACCGTAATGCACTGCTTTGGATGTGGTCAGAGTGATGACTTCAGCCTCAATATGTGCAAAAGGCTCTATCAGTCATGTATTAACTGGCTGGGAAGTAATACGCTGTCAAATTAGCTTTAAAACATTTGCTCACTCAAAGATCACCATGTAACATATTAATAGTGATACTTTTAATTGTTTAACGTGCAAGAGGATAACAAAGTGCTTCACATGAGATAAAATACGGCAAATTAGTATGTAACTATCTAACTTACTGAGAATCTCACAGAAGCGATTTGTGTGTTTTGAGCAAACAAATGGCAGGGCTGAACTATGGGTAGGGACTAGCCAGAGGCTTCCAAAGCCTCAGGGTGCATAGCCTGAGACTGCCAAAGAAAACTGAACCAGGGCCCTTGGCTCATTAACTGCAGGCTAACTATTAGGGCCCCCTCAGGCACCTCAAAATATATAATGCGAGCTGACCAATAAGGCTTCTGCTTTTACAGAGTGAGTTGACAACTAGAGCTCCAGTGTCCCTGGGCCCAACAGTGTATACAGGTTGAGCTGGCTACTAGGGTTCAAGCGCACCTAGAGTATACACAGCATGAGCTGATCAGTAGTGCTCCAAGGTCCCTGGATCCCTAAATACATACAATATGAGCTTATCACTAGGGCTCCTGGAACCCTCAATATATATAGTGTGAGCTGACCACAAGGGCTCCAGGGCCCCTCAGTGTATCCAGCATGAGCTGACCACTATAGCTCCCAGGGTCTGGGGCCTGTTTGCGTATACATTTTAAACAGACTACTAGGCCTCCTGAGTCCCTCAGAATATACAGTGTGAGCTGACCAATAGGGTCCCTGGGCCCCTCTGACAATACAGCATGAGCATGTCTCTAGAGTTCCAGGGCCCCTGGGACCTTCAGTGTATACAGCGTGAGCTGGCCACTAGGGCTCCAGGGCCACTGGGCCCCTCGGCATATACAATGTAAGCTGACTATTATGGCACCTGGGGCCCAGGACCCTTCTGCATTTACACTTTGAGCTGACCACTAGGGCTTCTGGCCCTCTCAGAATATTTAGTGCGTGCTAAATGACAGGGCTCTAGAGCCCCTGGGCCCTTCTGCCTATACATGGTGAACTGAACACTAGAGCACCTCAGCATATACAATATGATCTAACCACTAGGGCTCCTGGAACCCTCTGAATATACAATGTGAGGTGACCAATAGGGCTCCAGGGCCCCTCAGTGTATCCAGCAGGAGCTGAACACTAGAACTCCAGGGCCCCTGAGTGTATAAAGTGTGAGCAGGTTACTAGGGCTCAGGGGCCACTGGGCCCCTCAAGTATACAATAAAAGCTGACAACTATGGCTCCTGGGGCCCTGGACCCTTCTGCATATACAGTTCAAGATATACAATTTTAGCAGACCTCTAGGACCCCTCAGAATATAGAGTTGGTACTGACCAAATAGGGCTTAAGTGAACCTGGGCACTTTTGTCTTTACAGCGTGACTTGATCAGTAGAGTTCCAGGGGCCCTGGGCCCCTCAGTGTATAAAGCGTGAGCTGACTACTATGGCTCCTGGGGCCCTGGACCCTTCTGCATATACACTTCGAGCTGATCACTAGGGTTTCTGGACCTCTCAGAACATACAGAGTGTGCTGACTGACTGGGCCCTTCTGCCTATACAGAGTGAACTGATCACTAGAGCTCCAGAGCCCTCCAACATATACAATATGAGCTAACCACTAGGGCTCCTAGAACCCTCAGAATATACAATGTGAGCTGACCAATATGGCTCCAGGTCCTCTGAGAGTATAAAGTGCAAGCAAACCACTTGGGCTCTTGGGCCCCTCAGAATGCATAGTGTGAACTGACCAGGAAGGTCACTGGCCCCCTCGGTGTATACAGTGTGAGCTTAGCTCTAGGGCCTAGCATATTCAGTGCACCCTGGGCCACCAGGGCCCCTAACTATTATTTTTAGTTCTCTAATACAAATCTGTCAATATATATACAGCGGGTAAAATAAGTATTGAACACATCACCATTTTTCTCAGTAAATATATTTCTAAAGGTGCTGTTGACATGAAATTTTCACCAGATTTCGGTAACAAACCAAGTAATCCATACATACAAAGAAAACAAAACAAAAAAGTTCCGAAATTAAGTTATGTGTAATAAAATGGAATGACCCAGGGAAAAAGTATTGAACACGCTTACTGAAATTTATTAAATACTTCGTACAAAAGCCTTTGTTGGTAATGACAGCTTCAAGACGCCTCCTGTATGGAGAAACTAGTCGCATGCATTGAACCAATTGAGAGTTTCCTTGGCTGTGTTTGGGATCATTGTGTTGCTGAAATGTCCACCCTTGTTTCATCTTCATCATCCTGGTAGATGGCAGCAGATTTTTATCAAGAATGTCTCTGTACATTTTTCCATTCGTCCTTCCTTCAATTATATTAATTTTGCCAGTGACACACCATGATGTTTTTGGGGTGATGTGCAGTGCCATTTGACCTCCAAACATGGTGTGTATTATGGCATCCAAAGGAGTCTTGCATGGGGAGCGTGTATACAGGCCACGGCGGTTGAGTGCATTACTTATTTTTTTCTTTGAAACAATTGTACCTGCTAATTCCAGATCTTTCTGAAGCTCTCCACAAGTGGTCCTTGGCTCTTAGACAACTCTTCTGACAATTCTTTTCACTCCTCTGTCAGAAATCTTGCGAGTGGCTGGTTTATGGTGAAATAATGTTCTTTCCACATCCGGATTATGGCCCCAACAGTGCTTATTGGAACATTCAGAAGTATAGAAATGCTTCTGAAACCAATGCCAACAGTATGTTTTGCAACAATATGGTTGCGAAAGTCTTGAGAGAGCTCTTTGCTTTTACTTGCTTTTTGCTTTTTAGTTGAGACTGAACTAGCTAATATTAATTTCCACTGACAAGGAGCAGGATTGCTTTCTAATTACTGATAGATTTCATCTGGTGTCTTGGCTTTCCATGCCTTTTTGAACCTCCCTTTCTTCGTGTGTTCAATACTTTTTTGTTTTGTTTTCTTTGTATGTATGGATTACTTGGGTTGTTACCGAAATCTGGTGAAAATTTCATGTCAACAGCACCTTTAGAAATATATTTACTGAGAAAAATGGTGACGTGTT